TTCTCTCACAAATATCACATCCAACCACAAAAAAATCTAACTATCTTCTCAAATACAAAAAAAAAAATTTTTTTTCAATAATATCCTACAACTAAAAAAACCTATATATAAACCTACTTCCCAAACACCCTGTAACAACCCAGATTTTTAATTATTCTGTAAAATTTATACTAATATTATTTAATCACAGTTAAGAAAATATGCGATTTATTTTGTATTATTTTGGGTAATTTTATAAATTATTAAGAATTTAAGGGTCAAAATATAAATAAATAACTAAATTAAGTTATCTATTAAATAAGTTAAAGATAAATTTGAATTAATGAGTTTAATGGGAATGCGACACGTGGCAGCCTCATGGCTTGGTGCCCACGGCTGCCTTTCTGTATAAGGGGCGTTCTGCACAGAAAGAAAACAAAGAAAGAAAGGAAAGAACAGGGAAGAAAAAAATAATGGAAGTTGAAAGGATCTTTGATAGTGAAAATAAATAGTGAGATATTAAAGTTAATGTGAATTATATTATATTATGAGGTACCATAATATATTTTACATATGTTTTGACTTACCATATTTGTTTTATACAAGTTATGTTTTATAAATTATATTAATATTTCGATTGCGTGGATTAATTTCTGAATCCTATTTGCTAAAAGGAAACACATTGATGTGTTTGTTTATGTTTTAAAGAATATTTGATTATAACCTTATATACAATTATGTTTTATAAATATTACCACGGGAGTCCCACGCCTTGGGGGATCTAAATAACCATTGGCCCTCTGATTAGTCACTTTGTGACCCTTTGTTTGTCATGGATCCATTGACCCTCTGAATTTCTGGTGTGAAGCAAAGTGCTGAACGGAACTAAGTGTTACACTATGGTGAGAGCCACTTCTTGAGTCCGTACGAGCCATCTCTTGAGTCCATACATTTATTCTATTCTGTACCGTAGTTATAACTTCTGTTGTGGAGCAAAGCGTTGTACGAAAACTAAGTGCTACACTATGGTGGAAGCCACCTCTAGAATTTGTACGAGCCACCTCTTGAGTCCATACATCTGTTCTGTTTCGTTCTGTACCGTGGTTATGATTATGTATATGATTGAGTCCATACATCTATTCTGTTATATACTGTGGTTATGACTTCTGGTGTGGAGCAAAGAGCTGTACGGAACTAAGTGCTACACTATGGTGGGAGCCACCTCTAGAGTTCGTACGAGCCACCTCTTGAGTCCATACATCTGTTTTGTTCCGTTCTGTACCGTGATTATCATTATTTTATTTATATGATTTCTGTATATATGTCAAATGATTTACGTATTATATATTCTGTTTAGCCCCATAATTATCCATGGTGAATTTTATGCCCTTATGCTCTTAGTATAATATTTCTCACTCTGCCATGTGCTTATAGTTGTTTACCACTTTCAGGTGACATGTCAAGACCAGCGCGTGTGGTAGGCACAAAGCACTTTGTAGACATAGTTCAGCTTTGACAATATAATAAAATAGAAACTCTAATGATTATGTTGGTACCCTCACTGAAATACTATTTTTCCGCTCGCGTTTATTAATTTGTTTAATAATTGGCCGGAGGTAACTTCAGTTACTGGCCATCACGATACTTAACCCTTGGGTACGGGGAGCGGGTCGTGACACACCCACTATATCTTGAGATACAAACTAAAGAAGTCCTTTGTCTTTCTTGATTCTCTCTCTATTTCTCTTTATTTGTGACTTCCACTTCAAAGACTTTGAGATTTTTTATTATGGCCTCGTTTAAGAATAAGCTATTTTAGTAATTTTTTAACTTTTTACAAAAAGATGTACAGAAAGGTTGATGTGACAACTTATAGTGATTTTTTAACTTTTTGACCGAAATGTATAGATGACAAACGAGACATAAAGGTGAAATCACTCTCATCCATGTCATATGATCCGTTTGGAAAGTGAGTTGACTTTTTGACTTTTTTAGCCTGGGGCTAAAAAGCCTCGTTTGAGATGGACTTTTTGGTTTTTTTAACTTTATTGTGAGAGAAAGAATGTAATGATTATGGGTTGGATGTGATATTTTATCTTATTGAGCTAAAAAACCTATTTTATTTTTTTGTGGCTAAAATAGTCCCAAACCCAACCTAACCCTTCTTTCCAAACAGAGGTCATTCATTACTCAGTTGAAATCTTGAAGCAAAGCCTTGGTAACATTAGGTAAATTTCATCACTAATTTTTTATTTTGAAAATTCTATTTTTTTTATTTTTTTGTTTTTTGAACGAACCCTATTTTTTTTATTAAAAAAAAAACTTATTTTTGACACAAATCTCAAAATTTTTGAACACTTTTTAAAACCCTTTTGATTTCTATTTTAGATTTTGGTCCTGCTCTATATATTTTTCTTATTTTATTTTTTAAAACATTAAAACCCTTTTGAAAACATCATGATGTTTTGAAAAGGTTCTTAATATTTTGTTGGAATAATCTTCTGTATACAATATAAAAAATAGAAATAAATCAAACAAATAAAATAAATTAGCTTACAAAATTATTTACCGAAACAAATTAACAACGACGATCAAGTCAAGTGAGTAACACTCTATTCTTAAAATAGATTTGTCACCACACAGGTGCTCATAGATTAATGACGTCTATCTCTCATGATATAATGATCAAGAACGCAAATTGTAATAGCACAACAAACAATATGCCCGGTGTATCAAAACCTATGTTCTATACTGTTTTAAATCTCTCTAAAAAACTAATATGGAGAATAATGCTGGAGGAAGGAAAAAAGAGAAAGAATTGAATGAATAATTCTGGAATTGGGTTGCCTTTTTATAGCCTATTAGGAACCTATTCGTTTGAATTTGAACAGAAACACAGAAGAAGAAGAAAATCTAGAGAGAAATTCAAAATTTAATTAATTAATCTAAAAGAAAATAACTAAATAAATTTTCTAACCCAGCCCTCAACCTAATCCGCTCACACCCACGGCCTGGCCCAAATTAGAGTGGACGGTTGTGAAGGTCACCACTTACAATTAGCTTTGTCTAGGTTCTCCCCCTCTAAAAAACTTGGATGCTCTAAGGGCCCAATTTAGACGGTATAAGCCATTTAAACTTTCTTCTTCTCTCCTATGTAAGACAAGGGAATAACAATGTAGAAATCCACCAACATGAGTCATTTCCAATGGCTTACTTTGGTATCAATTTTTCATTCACCCATAAATGGGTTTTCACCAACCAAATACATAATATTTATATCCATATAGCAATGAACAACTTTGCCTCTTGGATTGACCAAAAATAATAAGTAGTTCCCACTTAATTTTGGCTCCAAAATTAGCAAAAGCTCATGGTTATTAAATCATTTTCCCAACACACTCGTAATGAAAAGCTAAACTCATAGGTCATATTTGTTTGGACAAATTGAATAAGAAAGGATTGTAATTTATTGGACTATAAATTCTTAGATGTATAGTGGCTGTACTATATGGTTGGAAATGATGCGTATTCCATATTTATTTTATCATGGATTAGATGTTTAGATAAAACTATTTTGTTGAATCTAATGTTTGATTAGAATATTATGAAGAATGATAAATGCTCAATAAACGATTTTACCATTTTCAATTGTTCATTAAGTAATAACAATACTGAATCTATCTTTAATATTTTAAATTTTTTTTTGGCTAGATTAAATAAATTTATTTTATAAAACATCAACAAAAATTTATGTTATTTTTAAAATAAAATTTTAAATAAATTTATTCTTTAAAAATAATAAAAATTAAATAAAATATCAACAAAAATTTTAAATAAGACATCTATAAAAATTTATTAAAAAAAGTAAATAAATAAACATCAATAAAAATTAAATTATCTTATTTTATTTTTAATTGAGATTTTTATATTTTATTTTATTTTACTAAATACAATATATAATGAAATCAAATACTTGAAGGGCAAATATGTTATTTTATAATTTAATCTCATGGGATTCCAATCCCACCATTTCTATTTCACATCCCATAGGACACAATCGTTTAACATATAGGGGATTCATGGTCCGTTGGAACTCCTAATCAAACTTACAACTTCTTAACCAAACAGTAGATTCCATGGTGAATTGGACATGGGTGATTTTATTTGCACTCAAATAATAACTCAGTACGCTCAATTAAAATTTTAAAATTTTAATTCCTATTACACCATAATGTAAATTTACTAATAAAGATAATATACATTAAATTCTAAATTTTTTTTTTCTAATAATACACCCTAATTACTTATTTTGTATATTTAGATCTCTTCGTCTTCTTCTCTAAATTTCAATTATTTTCTTTTCATCTTCTTCCTTACTTCACAACTCCAATTCACTCTACAAAAACTCACAATTATCATCAACATCATTAGTGTGTTTGTTTTGGTTTTCATAATCAATTTTGAAAAATAAATTTTTAAAAATTTATTTGATTGTATATTTTGAAAATAATTTTTAGAAATTTAAAAATTCAAAACTTGTTTGGTTTGGAGATTTTTATTTCTTGTGTTTTGTTATCTTTAGTAAACTTTTTTATTTTGTATTTTTGCCAATTTTTTTGGGGTAAATTACATATACACCCTTTGAGATTTGATTAAAATACAAATTGTCATCTTGAGATTTTTAATTTCATAACAAATCTCTCATTTTATTAATAAATTATCAAGTCAATTAACAGTTTTTTATAATGTTAGAAATATGTTTCAATTAATAATTTAAGTAATTTTATTATTGCATAAGAGAGTAATTATGAATTTTATTTTTTTAGTTAATTCTATGAAATAAAAAAATTCTAATAAAAAGATATTTGTAATTTTTTAAATTACAAGAAATAATTTATACTTTAAATAAATCTCAAAAAGTATATTTATAATTTATAATTTTATTTATTTATTTATTTAATTTATTTATTTTCTGTTCAGATGCACTGATCTAAATAAATGAAGCATACAAGTCTCAAGAACGATGTTTCCACTTTCAGGCCCCACAACTGCTCTTCTTGGCTTTTTTCCTGAGGTTCTTGCAACTGCAAATGGAATAATACACTCAAATTTTGAAGTGGGTCGAGCAAATTGTAAACCCTAGCCCCAAATTCCCATCACCTGTTATACAAAAAAATGATCAGTCAATCATAACATACAGTAACATCATTTGAACCTAAACTTTTCAAAAGAGGGCTAGAAAGAAGAAAAAAAACAAGTAAAAACGCAGAATCCATAAAGGTAAATTGGTTTTGTATGTCTTCCATTGATTGTAAAGATGAAGTGATTGAATTGGGTTTGTGTGAATATACAAAGATCATAGATAAAAGAAAAAGAAAATGAAAAGAGAGTTAAACATACCTTGATCGATTCGATCGGAGACGGAATCAGAGGTGCTATAACTGATGCAACGTTTCTGCTGTGGAATCGGTAAAAGATAGCATAACTGACATGAGTTGTGAGAACTATTTACTTATAATTTGTTTGGCTGTCTGTGCTTTCATGTAAGACGTCCTCCTTTTTTAGGTTATAATTTAATTGTGGCTTGGGATAGGATAGCTGTTGTGGGTTATTACACGTCTGTAGTTTTTTTATGCATCGTGTTCATTTATGTGTGCCCCTGTCACTGGAGTCCAGTGTCCCTTTCCCCACCCAACCCCTCCTTGTTCTAAGTTTCCATTCCAATTTTTTCCTTTTTATCAATTTTATCACATCTGCTTGGCGCTCATAAATTTATATGATTCGAATGCATGCCGATGGCTTATTTAATGTTGTGTTTAACAGGATGTTTACCTACTTTGGCTACAATACCAGTCTGGATTGGTTTATATCAAGCTCTTTCAAATGTGGCAAATGAGGTAGTTAAGAAGTTGTTAAATCTTTGGCTTTTAAACAATGTCGATGGAATTTTTTTTTTTTTTTAAATGCAGAATAAATAGTTTATTTCTGATTTTTCACATCATCTTTACTCAAAGGGACTGCTGACAGAAGGTTTCTTTTGGATCCCCTCTTTCGAAGGCCCAACTACAATAGCTGCTCGATAAAGTGGAGCTGGAATTTCCTGGCTTATTCCGTTTGTGGTAATTACACCATGTTCTTTATTCATTGTCTTTGTTGTTTCTTTTATCTATATTTGGAATTTTATTTCTTTGACATCATTTTTTATGTTGACGTCCCTTATCATGCATGCTTTATTCCGAACACTTGAAAGGAACCAACATAACTATATGTTCACCTGTTGAGACGTTTTGGCTTGAAGAACGTTGTTCAGTGACAAAGGCATGGACTAGGAGAATCTTTTGTTTTTCACCAACTCTCGTCGGTACAGAACAAAAGTTCATTTGTAGATGACACCATCTTCTTCTGTTCTGCTGCCATTAATATCTTGATCAAATTCATTATTTAGTTGGAGATTATTTCAGCCATGTAGATCAACCTAGGGTAGATCATTGATTGGCAGGTAGGATTTACATCCTGTATAGGGACAGATAGGATGCGGATAAGTTCTTAACTTTATTTCATTTGTTCATTATACAGTACAGAGGACTGGTTTTGTTACAGTAAATCAGTGTGCTGTAAATGTGAGTATGAATTTCTTAATTTTCATGTCCAAAAAAAATAAATAAATAAAGCTTTTGAGGATTTTGACACTGATTGAAAGATGTAACTAGAGATATCTACATGAACTCAGGGACTAGATTTCTTACATAATGGAAAATAGAGTAAACTCTCAACTTTATAAACTCCACAATAAATTAAATATTACAAATTCAAGGTTTTCTGCAGGACGGGGAGGTTTTGGAAGAGGTTTATGCCTCTAATGGAAGTAAACCAGTTCCAAATTATTCTAGGCCAAGGAGGAGTAAGCCATTGAAGCGGAAGCGTGCAGTATGAAAATGTATACTTACTTGAGAGTAGATACAGCGAGTCCTGCATATTTAACCAACATGTATCTTAGTCAATATATAGCGGCCATTTTTATTTTGTCTAATTCATATGGTCCTGCTTGCGCATATGTTGAAAATTACTTATTGAAAAGGCCAAGCATAGTATTTGGAACAAGTCAAGAGTTTTTGCACTCTTTTAGGAAACCAATTAATCACATTCTTTTGAAAATTAGAAATTGTTGAACCATAAATCCTAGCATTAGATTTTGTTAATGTAAATTGTGTAAATGTAAATTACAACTACCACTCACTCCACCTACCACCTCCACTACCACCCACTCCACCTACCACCTCCACTACCACCTTCACCTACTCCCAAATCCTCTCCTATATAAATCCTTGTAATATACACAATAAATACATCAATCAATACACATCAATAAATAATACATCATTATTTTAACATGGTATCAGAGATAGGTTAACAACCTAGTCATTCTGCTTCACCGGCGGGCGACAGCCTCGCCTTGGCCGCCCGCCGGACCTCTACACATACCTTCACTCCGCTGCCACAAATTCCATAGCTGCTCATCAATAAATAATACATCATTATTTTAACAGATTTAAGTGGCGACTCATAGCTCTTGAATACTTTGAGGGGTTGAATTTTATGTCCTGCATTGTTTTATTAGAAAGTTCATCCCTACTTACTGGCTCCCATTATATGAGGGTCTTGGGAGGTGTAGATTTGAATTTGATATAAATCTTAATAGTTGGCATAATATGCACAAATGGTTATCCTAAGACTTAAAACCCACAAACTCACACTCGGCATCTAGAGTTATGATCCGGTGCTTTTTTTATTATATAAAAAGAATAAAAGAAAAATAGATCTTATCTGGATGGATATTGCAGAGTCTGCAAAGTTGAATGCTTTAGCAATTGTAGGTTGAGCAAAGACACTTTCTCTGAATTGGGACTAGAACCTTGCAACTCCTTTGTGAGTAGCAAGACGTACACATTTGTTCAAACATGATGAGAAGCTGAAACACATGAACCCCCTGGCCTTTCAAAATCAGCGGGCGGTGAATAATCCTAGCTCGTTCAGAACCTTTTTGCAAGTATATGACAGCAAATCTGAATAAGATTTGCAATTCAAAATCAATACTTTATTGCTTGAATTTGGCCTGGTAGAGACTCAACTTTATTTATTTTTTTGTTTTACAAAATATGTTAGAAGCCATTATATTTTGTTTTAAATAATATTAGGAGTTTATGCTGGGACATCTATTGTGTAAAGGGTGAAGGAATTTGAGTTCTTTCTAGTTATCATTGCATGGGTGATGAAATTCAGAGCTCGTTTGGGAAGTTAGGTTTGGGGTTTTTTTGGCTAAAATAATCACAAAAAATGAAATAGGCTTTTTAGCCCAATAGGACAAAACATTACATCCAACTCATAATCATTATATTCTTTCTCTCATAAAAGTCAAAAAAACTAAAAAGTCTATCTCAAACGAGACTTTTTAGCCCTATGCTAAAATAGGCAAAAAATTAAAAAGTCAAAAAATCAACCCACTTCACAAGTCTGCTACTACTTTGGCACCCCCACTGCATGTTGAGTACTTGAGTTATTTTCATTATAAGAGACATGTAATCCAAGGCCTCTACCTTGATTTGTTTGAATTATTTTCAAAACAACTCATATGTATGTAGGCCTAATGGGATGCAACAATACTACATATCACTAAATTCCTACCACTAACACCACCACTAATGATGTGGCAAGTTAAAAAAAAAAAAAAAAAAACAAAAAAAAAAAAAAAAACTAAGACACAAAACACATGTGGCAGTGGGTGGGACCCACTGCCACATCCCTAGTGCAACCACTAATTAGTGGTCTGTATCATTTTTCAATGGGATGGTTTGAGAAATGTATTACTGTGTTTAGTGTCAATATTCTGGATTCAATTTTTTGAAAATTGAGTTTTTTTTTTAATTTTTTGTTTTTTTTAGTGAATATTTTTGATATTTTAAGCAATTTTTTTTATTTGTTTTATATGTACCTTATTTAGATATATCTAAAAATTAAAATATTTATAAAAAATATTTTAAAAAATCAATAAACACACAAGAATACGAAATATATATTGAATTTTTGTATTTTTTTAATATATTTTTGGTATATAGTGAATTTTTTAAAGATTTTTTTACAAATATTATACATTTTTAAGTATATTTATATTAAGTGTATCTAAAAATTTTAAACAAAAAAAAATTACTTAGAATATTAAAAAAATTCAGTGAAAACAAAAAAACATGAAAAATAAAAAATTTCAATTTTCTGAAAAGTGAATTTAGAAAACTCAAGACAAATAAGCTAAATTAGACTTGGATATAATAGGCATGATGTTTGGGTCAAGCTGGGTTTGGGTAGACACAAAGTCCGTTACTAAGGCTTGTTTTGAAAAGTTCATTAAAAGCTAACTTTGATTTTTTTTAGTTTGTTTTGAAAAAACATATAAAAAAGTAAAGAGATGATATGACTCAAAATATTTTAAAAGCCAAATTGGCTTTTAACCGAGTTCCCAAATTAGGCCTAAGAAGTACAAGCTCGATTCAAACTCAACCTTGCCCGATCGATGTGCACCCCTAGGTTAAAAGAGACTAGAGTAGCGGGGATCGCTCAAGCGCAGGTCATGTCTAAAGGTAATACTAGCAATCTTCAAGCCAGAATATACACTCGAGCGGTAAATGCAACCTCTTAGTATCTTAAAAATCAAACTGAGGTACTGGATGGCTCATTTCAACGTTTGAGCGCAAACTCCATCGCTCAAGCAGTCCATGAATATTGACTGGTTAAACTTGCTGAATTTGAAAGCAAACCAAACCAATCAACATTACAACTCACATATTTTTGCTCGCAAAATTGCCAAATCAAGGAACCTAACAATCTCCCATTTGGCAATTCCCGAACAAAACAATTCTAACATTAGAAACCCTAACAAACACACATTCTACACATGACACAACCTAACCACTCTATACAACAGTGAAGATCCAACCTGCAAAAACACAGTGAGCAACATACAGTATATAGATGGATAGCAATAGAATAAAGGGCAAATTACAAACACCCCTCTCGAGGTTTGGTGAAAATATAGATTTCTCCTTGAGGTTTGAGAAATTACAAATTGTCCCTTGAAGGTCAAATTTGCATAACAAATTAGGGAGAATCTGTATGAAAATAAAAACATCAAGGGGTAATTTGTTGTGGAAATATAAACCTCAGGGGACGGGATGTAATTTCTCAAACTTCAGGAGGAATTTGCATTTTCACCAAACCTCGAGGGGGGTGTTTGTAATTTGCCCTAGAATAAATGATTAGCAAAGTAAAATAATCCAAAAAACACTAAGCATATGCTAACATCTCTCCCCGTTTTTGTCCAAAAGAGACAAAGAGAGAATAACCAAGAACATGTTCAGAATACAGCAAGTACTAATCCCAAAAACAAATAAAACCATGCACGACAATCCCAAAACCTACAACCATAATAGATAAAACAAGTCCAAAGACATCTAGAATAGAAATACGAGAACCATGAGAAACCAACAACCAAAGATAAAGAAGAATCACTAATATGGCAGCGGTAAAGGTTGCTGCATCTGGTAATAAGATAGGAGCTAAGAGACCCGATAGGCCACCTGATCAACAGAAGAGGCAATGTGGCCAGTACTAGACTCCAAAGAGGTAAGACGCCTATCAAATTGCTCCAGAAGAGCATCAAGATGATCAAAGCGCTGATTCATGCCACGTTCAAGCTGAAGGATCTGACCACGAATAGAATGAGGATGGGCAGGCTCCCCTACACCACTAGCAGCTGCATCAAACTCAGCTTTCTCCTTGGCTTGTTCATTACCTTCATGAGAAGAACCCTCACCCCGCACATGAGCACGACTCTGAGACACAGTTTTCTTAGTGAAGGGTTTGACGGGATAGGCTCTTTTATCATTCTCAGAAGACTTAATATCAAGAGAGAAAAAAACATTCTCATCCACGACTCCACCCATGTCACCACCAGCAGCACCCTGGTACATCTTGGCGATTATTGGATTACAAATGCACTCCAACTCCTTTACATTGTACTCAAATTCATCCACCTCAGCGAGCTGGTTTGCATCCAGCCAGTGAATTGCCTGATCAATTGCATCTTCGATCTTTTTTTTGTCAGCAGAACTAAGTTTTGTGCTAATCTTTTTGTCCTTGATCGTGTTCCTCATATTGTACACGTAATTCTCCAACGCATTCTTCGCCTCCACTTTCTTCTTGTGCTCCTCATCTTCCGATTTGTACTTCTTAGCCTTTTGCAACATCTTCTCAATCTCCTCATTCAATAGCCGACCTTTGTCATTGGTGATGGTGATTTTGTTCTTATTCCTTGTAGTTTTGTCCTCTATAGAGACATTCAAAATACCATCGGCATCAATGTCAAAACGGACATTGATTTGAGGGACACCCTTAGGAGCAGGAAGAATTCCAGTGAGCGTGAATTTGCCTAACGGGTTGTTGTCTCTGGTCCTGGTTCTCTCACCCTCATAGACTCGAATTAACACACTAGGTTGGTTATCAGAGTATGTAGAGAACACTCGCTCTTTCTTGCTTGGAATTCTTGTGTTTCTTGGAATCAAAATAGTCATGACCCCGCCATTTGTCTCCAAACCAAGGGAGAGAGGGGTGACATCGAGCAACAAGAAATCCTGCACCTTCTGGTTGCCCTTACTGCTTAAAATTGCAGCTTGAACCGCAGCACCATAAGCAATTGCCTCATCTGGGTTAATGCTTTTACAGAGCTCCTTTCCATTGAAAAAGTCTTGCAACAATTGCTGAACCTTTGGGATCCGAGAAGAGCCACCAACAAGAACAATGTCATGGACATTGCTCTTGTTCATCTTCGCATCCCTCAAACACTTTTCCATTGGCTCCATACACTTCCTGAATAAATCCACGTTCATCTCCTCAAACATAGCTTGAGTAATTGTTGTGTAAAAATCAATACGCTCATATAAAGAATCAATCTCGATTGTAGTTTGCGTAGTTGACGAAAGAGTCCTCTTAGCTCTCTCACAAGCAGTCCTCAACCTCCTCATTGCTCTTGGGTTCCCACTAATATCTTTCTTGTGCTTTCTCTTGAAGTGCTCAACAAAGTGCTTCACCATTCTATTATCGAAGTCCTCACCCCCCAAATGTGTGTCACCAGCTGTAGCTTTGACCTCAAAAATACCTTCTTGAATGGTTAGGAGAGAAACATCAAACGTCCCACCGCCAAGATCGAAAATGAGCACGTTCTCCTCATCAATGATTTTGGCTTTCTTGTCAAGTCCATAAGCAACAGCCGCTGCAGTTGGTTCATTAATGATGCGCATAACATTAAGACCGGAAATGACACCGGCGTCTTTTGTTGCTCGTCTTTGAGAGTCATTGAAGTAGGCAGGAACAGTAACAACAGCATTTTTTATTGTGGTGCCAAGGTAAGCCTCTGCAATCTCTTTCATCTTCATGAGGACCATGGAAGAGATTTCTTCAGTAGCAAACTGCTTCTCTTCGCCCTTGTATGTGACGACAATCATTGGCTTGTCACCAGGACCAGCTACGACCTTAAAAGGCCACAACTCGATGTCACTCTGAACTGAGGCATCACTGTATCTCCTTCCAATCAAACGCTTTGTATCTAAAAAACCACAAAGTTAAAACCCCAATTAGGATTTGAAGAACAAAGGGAATGCTTCTGACATGTGACCATACACACAAAAACATGTGATCAGTGATGAGCAACGTTTTTAAAATTTTAGAGGGCATAACAATGCTGAAAACTTTGTTCAACGATTTCAAAAATGGATATAAAGAAATTATATATGAAGCTATACGGCTAATCTAGACTTTTAATAGGAATCATGTTTGATATCATGTTTGCGAATCCTGTAAAGTTTTAGAACTAAATGAATTCAAAAATCGATATTATATTAAACAACATAGAAAAGATGAAGGCAAAATGAATACCATGGCCTTAAACAAAATTCTGACTCAAAATAACTAGTCTAATTCAAATTGATCAGACTCCATGGTAAAATTCCACCATAATTACAAGACATTAAGACCAAATTGAGAAAGCCCAAATATGCAATTTGGAATAGAAAATCTTTTAATATTAAATCACTGAACAAATTTCCCATATGACACTTTCTTTAATTCGTTTTTCTTGCCTTTTTTTTCTTTTTGTAATTATGACAAATTTCTTTAAGACTGGAATCCTAAAAATTGTAAAAGTTGTTCATAAAATACAAAAAAAAAAAAAAAAAAAAAAAAAAAAAAAAAAAAAACAAACAAACAAACAAACAAAAAACAGAAGGGAAAATTTTGAAAGATTATATATATAAATTGCAGAAAAGCTTATTCATCATTTACAGTTGTCCGATTGCTCAATTACCAGCATCAACATTATGGAAGAAAATTGCTTTTCGGTATTTTTTATAGAACTTGTTGGTAACAACTTTAAGAATTCCTTTACATGAAAAGAAACTTCATCAAATTTAACCATGGTTTATCTTTTCAAGTGGGCCTCATTTATTTAGGGTTTGTTTGGGGTTGGCATTTTTAATCATTTTTAGGTTGTTTAGAAATTAATGCGTTTGAAAAATTGTTAAAAAATATATTTTTTTTAGAATGAAAAAATTGATGTTATATTTTTATTGATGACAAACAATTTAATGATTTTTTAAATTTTTTTTTAAAATTATAAATAATAATAAAAAAAAACCTTAAAATTTGACCCTTGTAAACAAAGAGAAATTTATTAGAAAGTTCTCTTTCAAATACTTATATTTCAATTAGCTCGTAAGATATTCTTCTATTTTAATAAGTTTTATTATTTTGAACATTTGATCTACCAAATCCTAATTCTCATATTTAAAGTATTTTATAGATAATTTTACCCTTAAAAATATTTTTTGAATCTTTAGCAAATTGGTGATGTAAATATTCACATTAAATAAATTTGACAGTGTGAAATATTCACTATCAATGAGAACATTAATACGTGTTTTGTCCTATTATTATTAAGAGTATTTTGATAATTATGTCACCCATAACACTCATTGAAATATAAGAAAATAATTTGAACTAAATGAAATATAAGTAAATGAAGAGAGATTTATAAATAAATGTCTCTATAATAAAATAAACTATGGAATTTTTATCTTGTTAATTAAATCCTAATCGTTTAATTTATATCAATTTATATCATTTTCCTACTTTGTTTAAATAAAATTGATAAAAAAAATAATATTTAGTCAGTAAACTCAACTAAAAAAAATGTTTTAGATATTTTATGTACTGTTTAATAGCTAAAATACTATTATTTTGTTAATTTTACTTGATAAAAATAGATGAATAATTTACATTAAAAATAATTAAAATAATTAAAATTTAAATCTACAAAATAAAAATTTTAAAATTTATTTTATTACAATACTCCTTATCCCAAACGTGACTTAATTTGTGAGATTCAAAATTTAAGAACAATTGTTGGTGTGACAGGAAGACCAAATTGAAAAAGAAAAATGCTTGGGAGCACTAATTAGTGCTCCCACTAATTAGGTGGCAGTGGGTCCCGCCATTAATGATGTGATGTTTTAATCTTGGAGTTGCATTTTTTTTTATTTTTTTTTACTTTTTTAATGCATTAGTGCTATTAGTGGTGATGTTTTTAGTGGGATGAATCATTGTTGATTGAAAAAAACCCAAATATGCGATTTGGAATAGAGTGGCTTTTAATATTAAATCACTGAACAAATTTCCCATATGACACTTTCTTTAATTCGTTTTTCTCTCCTTTTCTTTTTTTTTTTTTGGGTAAATTACATCAACACTCTTTGAGGTTTGATCTAATTACTACCTACTCTTGACATTTTGAAAATTACATTTCTATCCCTGTGATTAATAGTCTCATTTCATAAACTCTATGCTTATATAAAAAGTAACAACTCTTAATAAAAAAACAGAGGAAATTACATTAAAAAAAAAAGAGTAAAGAAAAGGGAAAAAAAAAAAGAAAAAGTAAAGCAAAGCAAAAAAAGAGAGAGTGTATGAGTTCAATGTCTTTATTCCGTCTAAATAATTACAACGACAAAGGGGTTAATGTAATTTTCCAAACGTTAGGGGTGATATATATTAAATTCAAACCTCAGAGATGTAAGTGTAATTTATCCTTTTTTTTTTCTTTTTGTAATTATGATAATTTTAAGACCGTAATCCTTAAAATTGTAAAAGTTTTTCATAAAAATCACACACACAAAAAAATAAAAAAATAAAAAAAGAGCAAAAGCAAAAGGGAAAATTTTGAAAGATTATCAACACACTAAAAAAAGCCAAAAATTTACTTTTAATCCATCTTAGACCTTGTTTGGTATGATCTAAAAAAGTCAAAAAATTAAAAAGTCACTATGCTATTTAAGTCATATCACCTCTCTAACACATCATTTTAAACCTAATCCATATCCAACTCATATTTCATAAAAGTCAAAAAATACATTTACTTAGATCATTCCAAACCACCCTTAAGTCACATCATCTTTCACATAAAACAGCAAAAAAATTCAAAAAAAATTTAAAAAATTATTTTTTAACTATTCTCCCAACATATATATAATTTGTAGAAAAGCGCCGTGAATAGATCATTTACGACTGTCCAATTGCTCAATGACACGCATCAACATTATGGAAGAAAATTGCTTTTCGGGGTTTTTTTTTCAATAATGATTGATTCCACTAAAAACATCACCACTAATAGCACTAATGCATTAAAAAAGTAAAAATAAAAAAATAAAATACAACTCTAAGACCAAAACATCACATCATTAATGGCGGGACTCACTGCCACCACTAATTAGGTGGCAGTGAGTCCCGCCATTAATGATGTGATGTTTTGGCCTTAGAGTTGTATTTTATTTTTTTATTTTTACTTTTTTAATGCATTAGTGTTATTAGTGGTGATATTTTTAATGGGATGAATCATTATTGTTTTTTTTTTTATAGGAGTTGTTGGTAACAACTTTAAGGATTCCTTTACAAGAAAAGAAACTTTATCAAATTTAGTTTAACTTTTCGAGAGGGTCTCATTTATTTAGGGTTTGTTTGGGGTTGGCATTTTTAATCATTTTTAGTTTTTTTTAGAAGTTAATGCGTTTAAAAAATTGTTAAAAAATATATTTTTTTTGCAATGAAAAAATTGATGTTATATTTAAAAAAAATTAATTGATGACAAATAATTTAATTAATTTTTTAAAATTTTTGAAAAAATTATAAATAAAAAAAAACTTAAGATTTGATCCTTATAAACAAAGATAAATTTATTAAAAAATTCTTTTTCAAATGCTTATATTTCAATTAGTTCATAAGATATTTTTATATTTCAAATAAGTCTTATTATTTTACACATTTGATCCATCAAATCCTAATTCTCTTATTATGAACAATTTTACCCTTATAGATATTTTTTTTTGCAATGAAAAAATTGATGTTATATTTAAAAAAAAATTAATTGATGACAAATAATTTAATTATTTTTTAAAATTTTTGAAAAAATTATAAATAAAAAAAAAACTTAAGATTTGATCCTTATAAACAAAGATAAATTTATTAAAAAATTCTTTTTCAAATGCTTATATTTCAATTAGTTCATAAGATATTTTTATATTTCAAATAAGTCTTATTATTTTACACATTTGATCCATCAAATCCTAATTCTCTTATTATGAACAATTTTACCCTTATAGATATTTTTTGAACCTTGATAACTTGGTGTTGTGAGCATTCATATTAAATAAATTTGACAGTGTAAAATATTTCCTATTAACGTAAACATTAATGTGCGGTTTATCCTATTATTATTAGGAGTATTTTGGTAAGATATATTGAAATATAAGAAAATAACTTGAACTAAGTGAAATATAAATAAGTGAAAAGAGATTTATGAATAAATGTCCCTACAACAAAATAAACTTGGAAATTTTTATTTTGTTAATTAAACCATAATCTTTTGATTTATTTCAATTTAAATCATTTTCCTACTTTCTTTAAATAAAATTGATAAAAAAATAATATTTAGTCATTAAACTCAACCAAAAAAAGTGTTTTAAATATTTTATGTGCACTTCAATTGAATTTAATAACTAAAATATTATTATTTTGTTAATTTTACTTGGAAAAAATAAGTGAATAATTTACATAAAAAATAAATTAAATGATTAAGATTTAAATTGATAAAAAAAAAATAAATTTATTTTATTACAATAGTCATTGCCCATAAACATGACTTAATTTGTGAGATTCAAAATTGAGACCACAATTCTTGATGTGACATTTTAAGGTTTTTAATTAATGACAAATAACTTAAAAGCTTTTTAATTTTTTTATTTTTATTTTTGAATAAATTACACTGACATTTCTTGAAGTTTCTATTTAATATAGATTCTTCCTTACATTTGAAAAATTACACTTATCTCCTGTCAGATTAAAATGACATATTTACCCCCTTAATTTTTATACATATAAAATAATAAAATAATACATATATTTTGTTTATGTCATTTTCAAAAAAAATAACAATCATATTCTTTGGTTTAACTCACACAAAAAATTAAATTCTTTTATTTTTCATTTTTTTTTATTTTTATTGAATTTTTAAAAATATTTTAAACAATTTTTTTTTTTAGATATACCTAATCTAGATATATTTCAAAAGTATAATATTTTATAATTTTTTTTAATTCACCAAATACAAAAAAATATATAAAAATATAAAAACTCAATATATTATCTCATTTTGTTGTATTCAATGAATTTTTTTTTAAAAAAATTTTGTACGAATTTTATACTTTTTAAATATAGCTAGATTAAATTGATCTACTCTAGATATAATAATGAAAATAAAAATGAAAAATTATACTCATATATAAAAATTTATTTAAAAAATATTACAAAAATGTTGAGATAGTGATATTATCGTAAATATAAACCATGTTTATGGGTGTTTTGTTTTAAAGTAAAAAGTCACCATCAATCTATATCATTATGTTTGAAAATTTTATATAAAATTTATATTTGTATATCATCACTTAATAAGAAAATGTTCAGGTAGAATTTAATAATAAAAAGTCAAAGAATACAATCATGATGATAAGAAGAAAAAATGGTAAAAAAAAAGATAAGATGATCATTTAAAAAAATTTATGGCATGACATTAGTAATCCAAAAGACAATTTGTAATAAGATTACAAATCTCAAAGAGAGGAATGTAATTTTTTAAATATGAAGAGAGATTTATATTAAATAAAAATCTCTAGGAATGTGAGTGTAATTTACACTTAATTTTTTTTATATTATTATTCTAAACACTCAGTTAATTAGTGAGACTCAAAATTAAGTTTAGAGAAATTTCAATTGTGAATCTCACAAATTAAATAGACGTTTAGAATAATGACAAAAAAGTCAATTATTCATTTAAAAAATAAAATTAAAAAATTATTAATATGTTTGTCACCTGTTAAAAAAATTAAGAGTCTGTTTGAATAAGACTATTTTAGTCCAAAAAAAAAAAAAACAATAAGAAGGCCAAAAAAAATTGAAGAAGTTTTAAATTTTTACAAAAATGTGAAATTTTTATTTCTTCTCACTCTACTTTTTGTATGTTTTTTTTCCTGTATAATACCAAAATGTTCTTCCTAAACATATTTGACTTTTTTATCACATATTTTAATAAAAAAAAATTAAAAAATCACTAAAAAAATTAATAATTTTTCAAAGAAAAATGCTTCAAAACTCTAGAGCAAGAGTTCTAGAGTTATTCCAATGACGTGGCAATTGTGTCATCCCACTTTTAAAAAAATAAAAAGTCAATTTAAGCAACACAAATATAAGCACAGTTTGGATTGGTAGCTTGAAAATAATACGGCTCGAATGGCCCGAGTCTAAAATGATATTGTTTTTGAATTTTTTTTTTTTGTTTCCCTCATTTTTCTGAAGATGAAGAAGAAGAAGAGACAAGAAAGAGAGAAAAGAAGAGGGAGCTTGGCATCATCATCAACACATCATCATCATCAACAATTTTTTTTTCTTTTCTTTTCCCTTCAACTTCAAATCCAGATCCACTAGAGATCATCAACAACAACACACATCATCATCAACAGCAACAAACAATTACTACCCAAAAAAAAAATTTGTAAAAAAAAAATGTAGAATCTGAAACATAAGCAAGAGAAAACAAGAAAATTATAAAAAATGAAAGTAAGATTTTTAAAAATTGTTTTTGGGTTTTGTTTATTTTAAGAAGTTGGGGCAAAACAAATTTAAAAAAAAAGGAAGCTCTGGAAGTTGAACCCTATGTTTGAATATAGATTAGAAAACAAAGCTACAGTGAAAAGATTTGAATGCAGAGAAAGGGATATGGAGGAGGAGGAGGAGGAAGGGAAGAGGTGAGGCTGACAAACAGTCACAAACCAAAACAAATAAATCAAAGAAAAGAACAAATCAATGAAAATGGAGGCCTCCATCCCGTGATCTTCCTTCTCTTCCTCCTCTGCTATCTCCATCTTTTCCCCTTCTTCTCTCCCGCCTCTTCTCTCTTCCTCTTTTCTTCTCTCTTTTCTCTCTCTCTCTCTCTCTCTCTCCTCTTCTCTTCCCTCTGTTTGTATTCAAAAGCAAGAAAATGGAAAAGAAAAAAAAAAACCCAAAACAACGTCATTTTTGATATTTGAGCCGCATTCGGACCAGCTTCTTCAAGCTACGAACTATTATTGATATAAGCAATGGGCAATGATTGGTGGCCACAAATTCTGTGGTTCAAATGGTCCGAAAATGCCAAAATGACATCGTTTTGGATACAAAACAACTTCGAAAATGCCAAAACGACGTCGTTTTAACATTTTCAGACTTTTTGAGCCACAGAATTTGTAACCACCAAACATTTTCCATAAGCAATACTGCATGGGTCCCACAGTATATGCATCTAGATGTCAAATATATACGGAATGGTTCATCAACTAGTAAATCTGTGAGCATATAGTTCAAATATTCATGTAAAAAAAGAAGTCAATTTTAAGCAAGAAATTGAAGAGCTTAGAACTTACCAAAAACAGTGTTGGTAGGGTTCATGGCAACCTGATTCTTGGCAGCATCGCCGATCAAACGCTCTGTATCAGTGAAAGCAACATAAGACGGCGTCGTCCTGTTTCCTTGATCATTTGCTATGATTTCAACATGATCATGTTGCCAAACCCCCACACATGAGTAAGTGGTTCCGAGATCGATTCCGATCGCCGGTCCTTCACCTTTTCCCAGCAGCATTCCCGCGAACCAAACAGAAAAATCACTGTAAGAAAACTACAAAAATTGACGAAGAAAAGGAAGTCAGGGAGCTAGAGACTTGGAAAGCTGTGAAGACCGCGTGGAAAATAAAGCACTTTTATGGAGGAAAAGCTCAAATTCTAGACTGTTCGAATCTTGGTGTTTTAGTTAAATTTTGAGGCTAAAAGGCTGCTTTAGTTAAAAAATTAATAAAATAAAATATTATATTTAAATTATAATTATTTTTTTTTATAAAACTCAAAAAAAAATTAAAAAACTTATGTCAAATCAAAATTTTTAACTCTAAATTAAAAATATTAAAAAATCAATTCACATCGCCTGGTGACATAACCGTCCGATTAAAATTTTTGAATGGTGTCGATAAGAGATACATTCCATGATTTTGTTGTTGTTAAATTGGTGCCGTGCCTCTCACTGGTTCCAACCATACATGAAAATTATTTTCAACCACTAGATTAGAATCTTATTAGTAGTGGAGTTTGCGATTCGGTTGCGGTTGAAAAATCTTTAATTAGTTATTCATTTCTTAGATTGATAGATTAGAAAAAATCAATCCGCATTCGTCCGACGAATTGTCAAATATAAATTGACGGATTAATAGATGAATACGAATCGGTTTGACGATTTAAACTTTTATAAATTTTAAATATAATACAATAACTTGTCAACATTTTATTTTTATAACAATCCAACTAAGGATTGGTTTGACATAAACTATAAAAGTCAAAAAATTACTAAGAAAGCCAGAAAGTCCATACTATTTGAAAGAACCTTGTTGGGAAAGCCTAGAAGGCAAAATTATTATTTTTTCCCTTTGAATTTAACAACCCAAAAGTCAAGTTAAAAAGTCAAAAGAGTAGAATGGTCATTTTGCTTTTACTACAATATTTTATTATATATATATATTCGTAAAAAGTTAAAAAATTATCCCAAACATACATCTTTTTTTCTCATTTTTTTTTTTGCCAAAAAGTCAAAAATACACTTATATAGCACATCTCAAACAACCACTAAATATAATCAAAAGATTATCAAGTAAATTATCAAATACCAATAATAAATATGTATAAAAAAATCATGCATTATCAAAACTATTTCATTACTTTTTTTATTCAAAAACTTTTTAATTTGATTTTTTTTTTTAAAAATGACGAAATTAAGCCTTTATTTTTCACAAAAAATATCAAATATCAACACTTGTTATTTGATAAAAGGATTTCCAAATTGAAAACACAACAGAATATGTAAACTCTTTTACAATTGAAAATACAAATAGAATATCTAAACAAATTGAAAATATAAAGTCTTAAAATTACTAGGGATGGTCGTGGTTTGGCAGTTCGGTTGCGGTCAAAGAAATCTCAAATCCGTCATTCGTTCAAAACTAGGCGGATTGGAAAAAAATCAATAGACAACCGTCTGCTCATCATCACACATCCGTCCAAAATACGACGGATCAGTTAAATTTGGTCGATTTGAACAAATCGAAATATCCGCTACTCACCCTTGCTTATTAGCCATCCAAAATCAAAACTGGTAACAGTGACATTGGTCAAGTGTCTCATTCAACAGTTGATTTTTTTCTCTTTACTATTTATCTTCCCTCATTCATTCTCTCTCTCTCTAGTTAAAAAATAATTTTTGATTTTTTTAATTTTTTTTAAAAAAACAAATAAAAAAATAAAGAAATAATAGGACTCAAAAAAGCTAAAAAAAATTAAAAAAATGACTTTTAGCTAAGTTGCCAAAACGTCGTCTTTTTTTTTTTTTTAATCTCGTCTTTCTTCTTCTTATTCTTTGACAAATTATTTTCTTAATCTCCTTTTTTTTTTTTCCCTCCTTCTCCGACACATAATGGATTTCGGCGCTTTTTTTTTTTAAGCTCATTCTTCCTCTCCGACAACACCATGGATTCTGGAAAATTATTTTTTTAATTACTTTTTTTCTTTTTCTTCTCCTTTTCCTTCTCAGATAACACTATGAATTCCGGCAAACTTTTTTTTATAATATTTTATTTTTGCTGAAGGCTTCATCAGAGACATTGAAACTATCTTAACAAAATCCTTCAATTAGCTGGAGACTGAAAATTAAAAATTGAAAGAGAAAAATGACGGAGTAAGTTAATAGATTTTTTAGTGAAATCTCATATTTGAAACTAGGGAAATTTGTATTTACATGGTGATAAAAAAATCACAATCTTTCTACTCAATCACAGCCAAATTCTCAGTTATATCCTTTTCTAATTCTTCTATTTCCCTCAGCATTTCCTCTCTGTATTGAAACTTTTGCCCTAGTTTGTAACAAAAGTTCACATTTTTATTCGTTGATGGAAATTGCACATCTGAGGTTGGGCAGTGATAGCATAGAGGTGGCTGGAGCACAGTTAAAATGTTTGATGATTCATTCTCTTTCTTGTCATCTTGGGTTGCGGCAGATCTTCAATTCTCTTTCAAGGTTTTAATGAAGAAGTTGATGGACGTAAACGCATGTGCTCTTGGAGACATGTGTTCTTTGTTTGTTGGTCCATTGTCGATTTATTTCTTATGTATTTCTTGTAAGGCCATTCAGGGATCCAAAATAACCAACCCACCTAATCGATTTGGCCCAATCCAAAGCCCAACGGCCGATTTTGATACCTTAAACGGTCGGCAGTGGTTCCATAGTCTTCAAAAATTTGATTGGTCAATCGACAACGGTCTGTGAATTAGTTGATCCGTTGAAACCGAATCAACCAAAATTTATGCACTAATGTTCTACTTGTCCTTCATTTGTTAGATATTTAGATTAAGCGTTTGTTTGGAAAGTATTAAATAAATATATATTTTAAATTTTTATAAAAAAATTGTAAAAATAAAATAAAATAATATGACTCAAAAAAAAAAAAAAATTATATTAACACTTTCCAAACAATCCTTAAATCATAAAGTTAAAGTATATCTTCCCAACAAAAAGAAATAAAAAATTAAATAAATTAGTCACCTATCACTATTAAATTTAAAGTTCAAATTATAGAGATAAGTGTGAACTATTCCACTTCTCCTACTTTTGTCATTTTTAAGGACCAACACAAAGATTTGACATCCATCATCAGTGAAGTCTCTCTATCCCTTCTCAATTTCTCCATCTCTCATTATTTATACTAATACTAATCCGTATGTACGGAAGTTTATAAATATATAACATATAAATAGGTATTCATAGCTTTCATGAAAAATATAGACGAATGTAAGTTTTAATATTTTTTTTAAAAAAATTGGCGAAAGAAATTATGACGGAGAGATTATAAAATATTTTTGTTATCTTTTCATTTGAAATCTATAAATTAATGAATAATTATTATTTCTAAAATAATTAAATAAATAAATCAACTAATAGATTTATCCGTGGTTTCTATTTGTTTTTAATTATGATTATTTAGATAAGTTATGATGCGAGTTAAATAATGATAGATTTGTGAGTTTTATTGATTTAAAGTATGATAGGAGATATTTTCAAATCAGATTTGTTTAGATAGACTTTATAAATTTTTAAAATTTAAAATTGGATATTGAGAGGCAGAAGAAATGTTAGAAATTGGATACCCATGTGGCATGACCCTTTGAACCTGAACCTTTTGAACCTTATCCATGTAAGTTTGAATTTGAATTCAAAACTTATTTGGATAACCATTCAGGATATCTATATCTATCATATCAATAGATATGGATAGATGGATTGATAGATATTGGTTATATATCTGATTATATATTTTAGATAATATATTGATATATCAGATACGTATATCAGATACGTGATGGGGTTTTTTACCCATAATCTTTTTTTGCCTGACTCTCTCTCTGACTCTCTCCCATTAAACAACGATCAAGTCATTTTGCACTGTGACTTGTGTGGGTGATACTCATTTTGTAGTATCACTTCACTGCTGGGTTCGTGGTTCAGATTTTGGAAACACGTGATTTACCCACGAGGTTTTATCGCCTAAAGGTATGATTCTGATATTTTATCCGCTACGTTATAATGCTTTATGATTTACATTGGTATCAGAGCGAATATTGGTATTTTCGTACTTATTTTTACGCATTAAAATATGTGTATATTTTTGTATAAATACATATACATGATATATGCATGAATATTAATAAAGGAGGAAGATGTCCACACTCATTAGATTAAGAGCATAAAATACTTCATTTTTATATTCATTAAATGTCATCTTTAATGCCATAAATGTATTTATTTTAGAAAATAGAGTTCGGGAGTACCAAAATTGGACCAGAAAACACCCTAGAAGCCGGCGCGTGGGCCGAACGTGCCATCTGACGCCGTCAGCGACTTTCATGCTCTGCCATGCGCCTCCACGCGCGTGCTGTCCGTGCTGCGCACGCTAGTGCCGAGCGTTGAGCCACGCACTGAGCCGCGTGCTGCGTCGTGCGCTGAGCCCCTCGCTGAGCCGAGCCGTTTTTTCTCCGCCGGCTTGGCTGCTGATGTTAAAGGCGCTGTTTGTTTTGTTTTAAATTCTAAATCGCGTTAAATGGTCATAATTAATTCGTTATAGCTTTGTTTTAAGCATGGTTGGGACCGTTAGACTCAGAATTAAATTTTCTATCTTCTTTAAAATTTTCAAAATTTTATGAAAATAAAAAATATTTTTCCTAAAATAATAATTCATTATTTCTGCTTTAAAATGCATCTGGTGTTGCATGATTAAGTTTCTGGGGCTGATTTTTTTATTGTAAACCATTGTAATGGTTTAATATTTACTGGTATGGTTATTGTATTTTACCAGATTCTGGAATATTTATTTCTAATTTTATGTGTATTTATTAGTTATTTAAAATTTCAGAAAATATCAGAAAATTTCAGAAAATTTCAGAAGTGATATACTTTCTGTTATGGTATAATTTGAATATTAAATACAGAATATTGTTTTTTTTTTCCTAGAGTTTCTAATATGTTGTAATTAGAATAGCATGATTAATTGTTATTTGTTTAAATTCCATTATTAATTGTAACATAGCATGAGTTGGTTGTGAATCTACATTATGATGCTATTGTATGGACTTAGAATTTTTTATCATGCTTTTAGACATGCCATAGTCAGTG